GATGGATTTGGGCTGTTTGCAGTCATCATTTGCACGTTACATGTCCAGCCAAGGATTTGATACATGGATTCTTGAACTTCGTGGTGCTGGGTTGAGCACTGAAGGAGTGAGATCTGCAGAGGTCAAGAAGCCTGTCAATGCTATTTCTGAGAATATCAATACAGGTATTGAGCATGAGAAAAATGGTGCATTCTTTACAGAGCGGTCACTTAACATCAACTCTAATGCTTTTGCAGAAACAGGGGTCTCTCCCTCCACAGGTGAAGGGACAGCGAGGGTTACTAAATCTGAAAAATCGCGGTTGGTGACCAAGTTGACTAAAAGTTTAATGAATTTGTCAGAAAGACTCTATGGCTGGCTAGATGAAGGTTTATTAGTGGCAGGGAAAAATTCTGTTATTGCTAGCTTGAACTTCGTGGTGCTGGGTTGAGCACTGATGGAGTGAGATCTGCAATGGTCAAGAAACCTGTCAATGCTATTTCTGAGAATATCAATCCAGGTATTGAGCATGAGAAAAATGGTGCATTCCTTACAGAGCGGTCACTTAACATCAACTCTAATGCTTTTGCAGAAACAGGGGTCTGTCCCTCCGCAGGTGAAGGGACAGCGAGGGTTACTAAATCTGATAAATCGCGGTTGGTGACCAAGTTGACTAAAAGTTTAATGAATTTGTCAGAAAGACTCTATGGCTGGCTAGATGAAGGTCAATCATGGTTAATGTTTGCTAAGTTATATGGTAAAATATCAGTACTCATAGAAGATGCTCAATTTTTAGAAATCTAATCATATTAAGGGAAAACTTTCAGGTTTATTAGTGGCAGGGAAAAATTCTGTTATTGCTAGCCAAATCAGGGATTTGAGCCAAAGGCTCATAAATATCATTGAAGATGGTGAACAATCTCTTCCTTCACAGTTTATTGACTTTGAAGACCGTCTTTTTACAACAATAGAAGATTTCCAGAAACAGCTTGACCTGATTGTGAAGTATGATTGGGACTTTGATCACTATCTGGAAGAGGATGTTCCTGCTGCGGTGAGGTGACATCTGCTGATTGTTTGTAATTTGAGATGTGGAAACTAATCTGATGCACTGACTTCATCGTTGCCACATTATACATTGTTTATTGGAATAAAATACACATTTCCAATTCAGCAGTGTCATAATATTTTTGAAACTCAATTTCATCAATGTAGATGGAGTATGTAAGGACTCAATGCAAACCAAAGGATGGCAAGTTACTTGCAATTGGTCACTCCATGGGGGGTATCTTGCTATATGCAATGTTATCACGAAATGGTATAATGCTCCATAGTTTCTTTTTCTATCCCCGTTTCTGCTGTTCATAAATTGTTCACTCTTTTGAATACTAATCCTGCATGTACTTTGTTCCTCTGTTATTGTAATTTTTAGGACAGTTTTATAGGATGTAGAATTGGGATTCTAAAAGGTAGAAGTTAGTGGCCCTTTTAAATTATTATCTGTTAGTTTAATATTTCTCATTCTTCTTTTCCATTTCTACTCATCAGCAAGAAATAAAGAAACGGTCTTATAAATTTTTGAGACACTTGTCCGTTACCTTGTGTTTGCATGCACAACACTCAAGAAATCCTAGTTTGTGAAGACTATTGAGAATATCATGTTGAAGTAATTTTATGCATAGCTGAAATTACTGTTACGACAATGAACAGTTAGAAAGTTGTCTCTATAGAAGAGGTTATATAGTACAGTTTCCCACGTAATTAATAAAGTTTTAATTTTGTTACTTCTATTGCATGCTGTCTTTCATGTTGTTGAATGGTGCAAATACTTGAATATTTTGTCACAAAATATTGGTTATTGAACATGTTTTTATTTGTGTGATAAAATGTTTACTTTTTAAAGGTTTTGAAGGAAGGGACTCTGGGTTGGCATCCGTCATTACATTGGCGTCATCACTCGACTATACTACTTCAAAATCATCAATAAAATTGCTTTTACCTCTGGCAAGTGGAATGGAACACTTACTGCGTTAGACAACTTCTTGCTGCTTTTGTGTGACAATTCAACGTCTAATTGGAATATGAAGCTGATCTTGATTCGTTGTGGCATACAGGCAGATCCTGCACAGGCTTTAAATGTTCCTGTTATTCCACTGGGAGTGTTGTTCACAGCTGCTTATCCTCTTGCATCCCGTCCTCCTTATGTTTTGTCCTGGTTGAATCCTCTGATATCTGTACAGAACTTGCATCCAGAGTTGCTTGAGAAGTTTGTCTTGACTAACTTTTGTAAGTAGATGATTATTCTTCCTTAACTCACATGATTAATATCAATAATTGCATTTATTTAAGTGCCTATCAAGAATATGCTAAATGTGGCATATTCCCTGTGCCAAGAATGTGCATTACATTGGCTCTTATATACATGTCAAGTGGTCTTTGTTGGACACTATACAACATGGGAATAGGTATGGGTATGGGGTTTGTGTCTGACATGTTAACTAAGTATGCACCCAACCTGTGGTTGGCAATTTGTACTCCTACTTTAATATATGATTTTACATAAAGCTCTTGTTATGTTCCTCTGTTTGCATGGTTAACAAATGTGAAAGGCCCATGCAAGACACCACGTAAACGCACCATTTAACCATAAATAAAAGAAGAACGTAAATATATATACTGATAGACCATTGTCATTTATTGGGATTTGATAAACCCAACTCTTAGACATATACCCACACCCTGCAAGTTTACAGGAGTCTATGAAATGTAGACATTTGTGAAACCTACTCCAAAGGATTTGAAATCATGTCGTCCAACTAACTCACAATCAGTACTTGCATTATTTGAAACCTATTGTTGAAGCCAGTTGTCAATTGATAGACCTGGATGGACTCTTTTTTCCTCAAAAGATTTGTTGAGAGCTTGATCCTCATTACAATCTCATTGCCATAATGGTGATCCGGTAACAGGTACTGTACCAGCTAAGCTTCTCTTGCAGCTAACAACAGCCTTCCGAGAGGGTGGAATGCGTGACAGGAGTGGAAGTTTCTTTTACAAGGAGCATCTGCGAAAAAGCAATGTGCCGGTTTTAGCACTTGCTGGAGATCAAGACCTAATTTGCCCACCTGAAGCCGTATATGGTACAATATATTAATATGACTTGTGTATCTTTGATATGTTCTAATTTCTAATGATTTTTTAACTGTTTCTCTCTGTCTGTGATGGTATCTGTGGTGCAGACACAGTCAAGCTGATTCCTAAGAATTTGGTCACCTATAAAGTTTTTGGTGAACCAAGCGGTCCACATTTTGCTCATTACGACTTAGTGGGAGGTCATTCGGTATGTGCTGATTTTTTTTGCCTTAAGAGATTTAAGCGACACATTTTATTTTTTGGGAGTTGGTTTGTTTGGCTTTTTTAGTTAGGCTTATTTTTGTCTTTTCGTAAACTTTTTTTTAAAATTATGTTAAATTTCTTTACCGTTTAGATCCGTCTCGACTAGACATTCTTTAAAAAATGAAATTTTTTTTTTAAAAAAAGTTCAAGAAGATAAAAATAAGTCAGATTTTGTAAGCTTTTTCGATAAAATTTGGTTTATTTTTGTTTTTGATGTACTTTTTTCAAAATTGACTCAATTTTTAGAATCATCAAGTTGGAAAAAAAATTACTAGGAAAAAAGTTTAAAGAAAAAAACAAAAAATAAGTTGTTTTTCTAGTTTTAGCCAAATCATAACATGCAATTGACATGCTTCATTGCAGCTTCTTGTGATATATCTGAAACTTTCTAAATGCAGGCAGCAGATCAAGTGTATCCATTTATAATCGAATTTCTTAGTCGGCATGATAAGACCTAAATTTGCATAGAGGGATAGAATTCTCATTTTTCTTGGCCGCCTGAGTTTTCACTTTGATGAAGCAAGAGGCAACATCAATCAATATATGAATGCAAAAAAAGTGTGAAGTGTGATTAAATATGTATGTTACTGTTGTAAGCAATACTGCTTTCTGCTCATTGTCGGTCAGGAAAGAGTAGCAACCAAAAGACAGGACGGTTCATTTTACAGTTTCATCCGAGTATGTTTAGAGAAAGATACACTCCCGATATCTTTTTAGGGGAGAACAAACTTCATTCAAGTGGATGTTCCGGTGTACTTGTAAAGTGAGATTTCTGGAGCAAGTTTAGGATTCCGACTTTCTTTTAGTAAACATATAGAGCTTGATACGGTATCTTCTCTCTTGATGCCAACAATGTTATGCAGAGATTTAAATTATTTTATGTATGTATCTTGATCTATATTACAGTGCTATGTTACAGATTTTGAAAACAGTATGAGAATCCCTTTTGCTATGAGCTCTTTTTATATATTATAATACTTGGAGAATTAGGTCTTGTCAAGACTCTCGTGGTCTATGTGGAACAAGGAACCTAAGTGCCAAATGCTTAGAGTTATGCTTGCAAAAATTTTAATAATTGTAAATAAAAATTTGTTTAGTATCTATTTTTACTTTAAAAAACCTGTAAATAATTTACAAAATTTATTAAATTGTAGTAATTACAAAAAAATAAAAATAAAAATTCATTTCTCCCTCCTCCCACATTCTCCATCTACCACTCATTGCTCATCACCCCCCACTGTTATCGATGACTTCCTCCGGTCACCACCTCCTTTAGCTGCCAACCACCTCTGACAATCAACAATCACCCCACACTGGCAACAACCCCTTTTAATTACTACCTCTTGTCAAAAATAACTTCTAGTGAACACCACTATCAGTCGGCAATCACCTCCGTCCACCATTTTCAACCATCACTTTCGGCTACTACTCACATTGGCCACCTTTCACTTATTTTCAAAAATTCTAAAAATCCATGTACATCAAACATGTTTTTATTTTCACTTTTATTACAAATAAACATAAATACGTTCAATATTTCTTGTTTACAAAAAACAATAAACTATGGCTGCAACCAAATGGCACCTTAGCACACTTTAAAAAAAAAAACAAAACAAAACAAAACAAAATAAAACATGAGCAATAATCAAATATGAGCAGCTCCAAATGTTGAAAGTGTATACATTGTTAAATATAAAGGCAAGCCTTCAAGTTTCTTAAGCAGAGCTTGAGCCTTAAAAGCCTTTAATCCAGAATCATTACTGTATAATAATAATAATAATTATAACAACACTGCTCTGCAAAATAAATCCAGAATCATTACTAGTAAGAGGATGATACAGGAGCAAAAGCATTACATATATTGAACATCTAGAATAGTAAGAGGATGAAATGCTGAAGAAAATCGCTGAAACGATCCCAATTGATTTCCCGAACCATAACTTTGAACCAACATGGAATTCTCAATCACCAAACACCCATCATTTCAAATGCATTGTGTAGAAAAGGACCAAACTACCACAACAAACAATGGATTCTTGTTCGTGCAGGAGATCGAAACTACACACAGTGCAGGGATCAATTCATATTAGTCCAAACACCGCTAGGGTTTGTGAGGATGGCAAGTATCATTCTTGAGCTGCTGCTGCCTCAGTTTTACAGATAGGGCAAGTATTTTTCTGCACAAGCCACTGCCTTATGCAATGAATGTGGTAGAAGTGTCCACATTCCAGTTTCCCCGTCTCATCTTCTGCTTCATAGTCCTCCTAAATAGTATAAAACAGAGTTATATGCATACCAAAGTTTATATATCTGTTTCTGTACTATTATATAAAACAAACAACTCAGTTTCGCATGAACAAAAAGAATTCGGTTGCAACAAGAAAAGCGTAGTGGAATTGTGTAACTTTCTCACTTTTATGGGTGGTATGGTTGGAATGGAACAAAATTGAGGACAGATAGTCATTATGGAATAGACTGTCATTTGCCATTTTTTTGGGTTTCCGTTTTCTCTCCTTTTAAGGCTCATTTCACTCACCTTTTCTTTCCCTTTTCCTTTCCAAACCATACTCAAATTCATAATCCAAACACAACTAAAGGAATTCCATTCTTTTTTATTTGTACATATTGGAGAGCAATGTGTCATGTGTAGTTTGAGACGTTGATTTCCTTTATTCTCTCTCTTTTATTTCTTCCTGCAGACTCCTTGTCCTCTTGTCGTACCTTTTTCTTCTTTGAATGAAATTCCCTTTTGTCAATGATTTAAATGTGTGAATTTTGCAATTTTTCCCATACAGACCCTTAAAAACAAACAAAAGTTTCTCAAATATTAACAAAGTAATTTTTATTAGGCTCTGTTTGTTAACAAAAAAGTAATTTGCAAAAGCAATGTGGCTGCAATTTTACGTTTAAACTTCTGGATAGTTTGATGATTGAGAAGCGGTTTGATGAATGAGTAAAATCATTTAATAGTTTTGGGCAGTTTGATAAATGATAAAAATCGTTCATCACATGTCACAGTTAACAGATGTCAAGGGTATTTTTGAAAGGGGACAACCCCCCCCCCCCCTTTAGACCCCCCCCCCCCAAAAAAAAAAAAAAACCAAAGTGTGATAGGGTACACACCAGTGTGTGCCCTTTATAAAATAGGATAGATATAAAAAGATAACCCAAGCTTTGGAAAAAGGAAATTGAGAATAGAGGACAGCATTAAAAATCACTGATGAATGAACCTGACAAATGCTGCACTTCCATTCAATTTCCGAGAATTGTGACCACAAATTATCCAAAAGCTTGGTTTTTCTGAGGCAGTGGACTATCTCATCCTCTTTCAACCCAGTATTCACATGCCCAATTCTATCGCCAAGCTCAAGCAATTCCTGTTTGCAGCACCAAATCAAGAGCTTTGATTGAGAGATACAGCGATACAATCACTAGAACTCTTCAAGATTTGTTTAAATAAAACAAGGGCCTAAAATGCATTTGTTAAAAAAAATAATGACACACCTCGTATGACATGTTATCGACATCAAGTCTCCAGTCTCTGTATCGATCAAATCCATCGGATCTTCCTCCCATCATCAAACTACTTTGGAGCATCATGATCTGCAGACCAGTCAACACTGATTAAAGATATGTTTAATATTTCCTGAGATAATAGTTGGACTCAATAATTAAATATAAAAGCTTCATCCAATAATTTTCCTAATTGCTTCTTCATTTAAAAACATTATAAAGTTTCAGAGGAGAGAAATGCAATAGCATTCACGGAGCTAGAGAGTATAAGCTTTACAGTTGATTAAGGAAGATTTAGGTGGATTTGCATTGAAGAACATGAAATTCAGTAAGGCATTAGGACTAGATTGAAGACGAAATCGGGATGAGTCCAAACTCCAATGCAACAACGAACTAAAATATATACTATTGACAGTGTCACAGTGGTATGTGTTTGCAAGCACAAATTGTAAGCCTAAGCATTCGTGCAGCAACATGGACATTTTTAAAGAGCCATCACATATCAGAAACTAGTACTTCAACATCCCTAAACATATGTAAAACAATTTTTGGTTCTTCGCCATCACTTCTTGAAAGCTTAGCCAACACCTAATAGGAGCATTGCTAAAATAACATCCCTACAAATCCAACCTATTAAAAGTATACCAAAAACCCTCAAGAAATATATGACATTGTACAAGTCACTGCCACTATTCAACCATCCAATGGATACTTTATAATATATGCAAATAATATAATTGCAGGAACCAAAAGTAAAAAATGAAAATAATAGATGAATGTAGTAATGTTAACAATGTGTCTAGTTTTACTTCCCTCATTCTGCAATTGTTAATATAGAATTTAGAAAATGAATCAAAGTTATCAATTTGTCATCATGTATACATGTAGACTTTTCAAACAATAATACATGTATATATGTAACAATACATATTTCTGTATAGCCATGTCCTTACCATGTCCATATCTTATCCTAATTCAGAATTGGCCATGACATTTATGAATCATGTCCTGTCTGCCAGGACTACTTAAAGCACCAATTAAGCTTGATCAATAAAGAAAGCCTGATCAAGCCTACAATGGCCCTTGTTTGGTGTAGTTTATGGGAGTGCTTATAGTCATTTATTTCTTATGGGAGCCTATGCCAGAGTTCTATGCAGTTTCTGCTTATAGCATACGAGTCCAAAATGAATTAAATAAGATACAGACAAACCTCAGCAAGGCCATCAGGAGAACGATGCCGATCATGACGATGATACCGTGCACCAAATACATCCAATCCCGGGTGCATCATTCCAAATGAATGATCAGAATCCATAAAAGACATAGGTTCAGATCTCACCGTCCTCCTCGTAGAATATGAAAGACGCTGCCAATGCAAAAGAAGAATTAAAGCAGTTTCAGTCAGCTCACGCATATACTTCTCCACATATATAATTATGATAATAAGGAGCTGCGTTGATGAAGTTACAGATTTCATATATTCACTGAAAATGAAAGGGCAATGCAATATACATGTCAGAAACAATCAAGAGACACCTGAAGACATAAAAGCATGACATACAAAAATGATCACTGATCAACAGTTAATGCACATAGCTAAATGGAAGCGATGCACAAAAAGTAGATAAGAAAAAGGGTACATTCACTTACAAGCAATACTACATACCCAAAATTTTACCCAGAACAATAAATGAATGGTTCAAATTCATTACATGCATAGACCCTACAATACACCAATCGAATCTCAACCAATCTTTACCATTCTGGTAAAATTCTTCACAAAAAATCTGGGCATCTATCTTTTTTCCTTAAATTATGTACTGAGCAAGGAATACAAGAAGGATTGGAACAAATACCAACCGTAAAGGCAAATGCTAACTAGTACACTGTTTAATATTGGGAATGGTGTGAAAATTGCTACGGAAATAGATGATAAAGGCTAAAAGAGTTACAAAATTAGTGGAAAAAAAATGTTTTGAAATAGGTAAAGTATTGGTCTTTTTTCTAGTGCCCGAGAGGCATTTGTTAGCAAGACCCTATATTGCAAGACATTCCTAAGAATGGCAAAAAAAATGACAAAAAATCAGCAATAGACAATGGAATATATAAATATAAAGAAAGAAGAAGAGGAAATCAATCCAACCATGCAAGTACAAGCCTGGTGGAGGAAAGAAGGATAATCAGATAAAAAGCAAAACTTCCCAAAAATATTCATTCAGTTCGTACCAGAAAAACCAAGCAGAAGGGGCAATAATTTTTTTTGAAGTAAAATCCCAAAAACAAAGTATCAATACCACAAAAATGCCAAAAACATTTCAACCTAGGATCCAAATGGGCAACCAAAAACAACACAAAACAAGACAAAAACTACCCAATTAATTAGTACTAACTCAAGATCAATCATTAAAACAGAAAAAAACAAACACATTAAAAAAAAAATTCAAAACAGCAATCAAGAGAGGGAAGAATATATATATATACATACCTCCCTCTGATTCAACTTTTCACCATCGACTTTGGATCTTCCAGAGACAGTCCTCCTTGACACAACACAATCAACAGAGGAAGCATCAGTGGTGAAACCAATCCCAGGCCCACACCAAACATCAGGAACAACAATCACTGAGGTCGATGCTGCTGCTGATGATGAAGATGGGTTGTTGTTGTTGCTTGGCATAACCACAGCTTGATTGGGGGGTTTGTTCTTCCTCTGCTTCTTCTTCCTCACTTTCTTCGCTTCCCAATTCGCCGAATTCCGAATCACCGCCGGCACCGATACCTTGGACGAGGCGGCGGCAGCGCATCCGAGCCCCCTGAATGTCCCCGATGTGAAATTCTTCTTCTTTGGGGTGGTGGTGGTGGTGTTGAAAGTGGAGAGGAGGAGAGAGGAAATGGTGGATTTACAGCGAGTGGATTGGATGATAGAAGGTATTTGAGGTGGGTTTGGATCTGTTTCTGGGATGGGTTGGTTGTTTCTGGGTCTTCTGTATCTAATCTGTTCTGCTATTGTTGAGTTATCATCAACAATCACAGGCATGATTGTCCAAGAAAGATATAAAGAAAGAAAAACAAACTGTGGAATGAATTAAGAGGGAACAATGGGTCAAGATGAGAGAGAGTAGTGACTTTGGATGGAATTAGGGGAATGGATTATGGAATAGAAGAGGAAGAAGAACAACAGAGAGTGAGAGAGGGAGAGAGAGACAGAGAGATTTTTATGATTAGTATTTTAGAAGAGAGCCTTCCTTTTTGTGGGTTTAGTTTAGTTAGGTTGGGGGTAGTGGGTGGGGTTCTATTTGTCTTCTTGTTCGGTTTCTGTGGGTGGTGGCTGTGGACAGCAGCCTCTGAAACTCTGTCTGGACACACACTTGATAACTTTTCTTTTTCTCTGGTTTTATGGCTTTAGGAATTTGAATCGATGCTGGTGGTGATCTTAATATTTAAGGGAAATTACAATCACTCTCTCTTTATATGTTTCCGAAATAATATTGTTAGAGCATCTCAACAGATGTCCTAAAATTCCTTCTTACTTATTTTAAGGGGTAAGTGATTCTCTAGTCAAGTTTGACATGATTGAAAAAAGATAAAAAGTCAAAAAGTCACTATTTTATTTAAGTCACATCATCTTATTTAAGTTACATCACCTCTCTAACACATCACTTCAAACCCAACCCAAACCCAACCCATATTTCATAAAAAGTCAAAAAGTGCACTTATTTAGTCTTCCCAAACTAGGCCTCTATATACCTACATCAGCTCTCTTAAATAGAAAGTCATTATAACTCCCTTATATATATATATTTTTTTTTACTTTGCTTTGTTTAGAGACTGTAGTATATATTTATGATTTTTATTTTTTTTAAATTTATAATTAAAAATTATATTTTAATAAAATAAAGAAAAAAATAGGAAGTTTGTTAATAGAATAGAAAAAAAATAGAGTGTGTTGAGGAAAGTAAACAAAAAAGTGATTTCTAAAATAATGAATGAATTTTTTAATAATATTTTAGGGTAAAATTTAGGTAAACTGGTGGGAATGCTCTTAGAGCATCTGCAGCACTTTTATAATAATTTTTTATTATTATAAAGGATTAAATTTTTTTTAAATTCTTATTCAGCAGATTCTTTATTCAATGTCTCAAATATAAATATTGATACAGTAACTTTTTATTTGTAGAGAGACACTATAGATCTCTCATAACTCATAAATTCTTATTTTATTTTCGCTAAATGTATGCAGAGGATGTCCCCAAATGTCTTCCTGAATGTCCTGTGAGTGCCCTACAGCTGAAAAAGGAAAATACCTAAAATTAGCCTAACTGGTCGACCAATTGGTTAATCGCCAATCTTTAGGTATGTTTGGTTTGAGTTTTAAAGATGAGTTTTAAAAAAAAATTTCCAAAAAATTGTTTGGTTTGAGATTTTTCTTAAAAAAATTTCAAAATCACTTTCTCTCTCTTACACATCAATCAATCACTTTTTCTCTCTCCTCTTTCATTCTCAATCACTTTTTCTCTCACACACATCTACTCAATTACAACAAAATATCAAATCATCCCAAACTCCCAAACTTCAAAACTACTTTCAAAATATACAACTTAGGCACCGTTTGGGAAGAAGTTGGTTGGGCTTTTTTGGCTATTTTAGCCACAAAAAACAAAATAGGTTATTTTAGCCATAACAAACAAAACATCACATCCAACCCATAATCATTACACTCTTCTCTCACAAAAAAAGTCAAAAAAGCCAAAAAGCCCTTCCCAAACCAAGCTTTTTAGCCCAGGCTAAAATAGCCAAAAAAGCCAAAAAGCCAACCCACTTCCCAAACGGAGGCTAAACAAACCAAAAAAATTTCTAAAATAACTCTCCCAAATTTTTTTCAAAAACAACTCTCCTAAAAACAACAAACACAAGCCCTTTATTTTCCTCTGTTTTGCTGGTATTTAGTTGGCATGTGTTTTTATTATTTTATTATTAAAAAAAATAAATTTAAAAGTAGTTAAAAATATTATTTTAATAAAATAGATAAAGAATAGAGAGTTTATTGGGAGAAGTAGATAAAAAAAATGATTTTTAGAATAGGGAATGAATTTTTTAATAATATTTTAAGATAAAATTTAGGTAATCTGCTAGGGATGCTCTTACTTTGTTATTGTCTAAAATTATACTAATACCCCTTGTCATCTAAAATGATTGTAACCCTCGTTCGTTTGGCACATTAAATTTGATGAAATTATGAAGATAATGAAAAGATAAAGTATATTTATTTCTATACTAGTGTGATGGTATTAATTTGTTACGACTACATCTATAAAATTACCTAAAAATATTCTTCACATATAATATAATTTTTTTAATCTTGTAAAATAGAAGGCAAAATGATAAATTAGTCATTAACTTGTGTGAATGGATTAGTTATCCCAACACTCCCGTGAAAATGCTAATCCCACCGTGGGATGGATGGATTCATACTCCTATTAAATTATTAATATCATGACATTTTGATGCACACAAACATGGGATTTGGTAGATACCATATCTTGGCAATTCAATCCTCTTTTTCAAATCTCCAATCAAACGTGACCATAAGGGATTACTAGCTCAAAACTTAGATTTATTTTTCAAATTTATTGGTATAACAATTAATTAATTTAAGACAATTCTCTTTCATATCTTCTCTTACACATCATTAGATCTAAAAATAAAATTATATATCATTTTCCAGGACTATAATATCATTCTTGATCAGTCAAATTCACTCTCAATCAAATAGAAATAAAAATTATTACTCTCATCATCCATCGAATGTCCTTCATTTCAATGTCCCGCCCTCCACAACCTAAACCACTACTTTTACTATAGTAGGGGTTTGGAATAAATTAAAAAAGTATATTTTTTTACTTACATACACTTATTTTGATCATATCAATTAACATCTATCAATATCTTCTCTTTACTTTTCTAACTACTTTTCCTACTTTTTTACATTTTTTTTAATAAAAAATAAAAAAAATACATTAATTTAAAACATCTCAAACCACCCCTAACATTGCTATAACAAAACTCTCGCTCTATCTCATCTCAGCTTCCTAATTTACACTTGATAGCTTTAGATGTTTGGGAAGAAGGGTGAGGTAAAATAATGTATTAAAATATAAAATAAATTAAAATAATTAATAACACAAAATATTATATTTAATTTATAATTATTTTACTATTTTTTTCACAATCTTCAAATCAATTATAAAAAAGAAAAAGAAAAAACAAGAAGAAATCAATCAACTTCCTAAATACAACTATTTTAATAAATTTAAAATAATCAAAAAGTAAAATAATTAATTAAAATAATTAACTTTTCAAACAAAGTCTTTATTTTCTTTTTTTGGCCGAGGCTAAAATTTGGCTAAACTAAAATTCACAAAAAAATAAAATAGATTAAAATAATTAATAAAATAAAATGTCACATCAAATTCATAATTATTTCATTTTTTTCTCACAAATATCACATCTAGTTATAAAAAAATTCAATTATTTTTTAAACATACAAATTTTAATCTACTAAAAAAATCAAAAATTAAAATAAACTATTAAAATAGTCATCTTTACAAGGTCATTGTAGATGTTGCAATATATGATATTTTAGTATAATTATGATACCTTCATCGCCTTTTTAATACTTTATTTGAAATATTTGTATCACAATCACAATCACAATCACAATCTTGAATGTCACATTTAGGCTTCGTTTGGCAAGGAGATTTGGGCTATTTTAGTCACAAAAGACAAAATAGACTATTTTAGTCACAACAAACAAAACATCATATTCAAATCATAATCACTCACAAATATCACATCTAATTATAAAAAAATTTAATTATTTTTTAAACATACAAATTTTAATCTACTAAAAAAATCAAAAATTAAAATAAACTATTAAAATAGTCATGTCATTGTTGATGATGAAATACATATGATAAACATATGGATGAAATACATATGATAAACATATGATTGAATAAATACATTCCATTTACATAGCTGTCATTGATAGATTGGTTTGGGGCTTTGACAGGTCATCATTGGGTGGTTTTGGGGTTTGTTGAGAGAAGTGGCAATACATTGGATAAAGTAAAATGGGGTTTGGTAGTGAAATTAATGATGAGACGATTGTAAAATTTATTTATTTATTTATTTATTTATTTTTGGGTGTGAGAGAGGAAGATGGGTTAAAAGTTATGAAGTAATTTTTAACTTATTTTTCAAAATAGTCCAAAATTGTGATGTTTGGTTGTGGTAGGCGGGTTTGGTTTATCACTCAAAAATATATTTTTGGAGAAATTTTTTTTAAAATATATTTGGTTAAAAAATTTAAAATTATTTTTCTTTTTATTACATATCAATTAATCAATTTTTTTCTTTCTTCTCTCATTTTCAATTTTTTTTTCTTATATTTATCTATTCAACAATAAAAAAAAATTAAATCATTCTAAATTTCAAAACTATTTTCAAAATATACAACTAAACTAGTTTTTAAATTATCTCTAAAAAGTTATTTTTAAAATAATATTTCAAAACACAAACTAAGGTTAGTTTGACATAAACTAAATAATACAAAATGTTAAAAAGTCACTATCCTATTTAAGTCATATCATCTTATTTAAATCACATAACCTTTCTAACACATCACATCAAACCCAACTCATATGAGTCAATAAGACAAAAAGTACACTTTTTTATAACATTCCAAACCAACCCTAAAGTAAGGCTAGTGTATTCGAAAGGAAAACTAAAAGGGTTGATTCTAATTTTAAAAATATAGATTTGTGCAAGTATAATTTATTGTTCTTATATTTAGATCTCGTTTAGCAACTACATATTTTAGTTAAAAAGTTAAAAAGTTACTATAAATTATCATATTAATTTATCTATTTTTATATATATCTTTTCGTAAAAAATTTAAAAGTTACTAAAATAACTAATTATTTCATAACTTTTAATCTATTTTAAATCACATTATTTCTTACATTTTTTATATATATTTTTTTTTTAAAAAAATAAAAAAAAATTAACTTTTAACAATTTTACTAACACACCCAAAATATTCCTAAACGAGACCTTAAACTGAGATTACTCATCAGAGAATAAAGTAGTACATCTCCTCTTGTTTAGTCGTCTAAGGTTAGGCTGGAATTAGGCTAGGTTTGACATCTTTAATAAAAGTTAAAAAGTTAAAAAGTCAATAAGTCACTATCCTATTTAAGTCACATCATCTTATTTAAGTTACGAAAAATGCTTGGGAGCACTAATTAGTGCTCCCACTAATTAGGTGGCAGTGGGTCCCGCCGTTAATAATGTGATGTTTTGGTCTTGGAGTTGTATTTTTATTTTTTTTTTACTTTTTTAATGCATTAGTGCTATTAGTGGTG